TCTCTCTCTCTCTCTCTCTCACTGTAAACTGGGATATAGTTGAATTAGAATAAAGCTTCTCTGTGGTTTCTCTAAGCACAGATGATAATTCCCAGCGGAAACATTCTGATGGGCTGCAGGTTGTGATCTGATCTGCTCTGTGTATGTGTTTTGGGTTTGAAACCGTCTTCATCTGGCACTGCTGGATAGTTGAAGTGTTCGCTGGAGAAACACATGCCCTCTGCGTCTAACTGCGCTCAGATTTTGCAGGAATAATTATGTGGACAGATTTATGAATGGAGACGGCAGTGGGTTCGACTCTGCTGTGTTGCATAATGCAGGGAACCTACACTGTAAAAAAAAAATTCCGTACAATTTACGGTAAAAAACCGGCAGCTGTGGTTGCCGGAATTTTACCATAAAAAATGCGGTAGCAACATTTTAAGTTTTATGGTTTTAACTTACATTTACAGTTAAATACCGTAATTTCATTAACTGATATAATGTTAATATACCAACCTATTGAAGTACTGAAATCTGTTTTGTACCTTTGTAATACACTGATAACCACCAAATGCAGGTGGTGATGAGAAAGTCACATGATGAACCAAAGCCCATCACAAGCAGCTTTTAAATAATACCATATATAGAAGGTGCACAGTGTCATTCACACAAACACCAAACACCATCATGGTAACACACATGAAACTGAAATAATGCAATAAACATTCATTTAACAACATTAGGTGTAACACACAACCCTAATATACAAAACTGATAAGAAAAAACTAAGAAGAAACAGTTATTTCAACAAAAAAACATCAAATTTGAAATGTAACTCAATTTGGAATGTCAATTTATGGTTATTCACTATAAATTATACGGTCTTTTTCACTTCCAAAAACGGTTTAAAAACAAAAATTACATTTTTCAAAAACAAAATTAATGTCCAATACATGTAATGTCCAATACAGTTTTTCACCGTATATAGTAGGGGAATTTACCGTTAAGCATTTAACAGGTTTTTACTGTAGCATTTTTACAGTCTTTTACCGTTAAATTCACGGTCATTTTTTACAGTGAAGTTTTTCCTTTGTGTTTTTGAAAAGTTTTGCATACAGACTACATCATGCAATGTTCTGCTGGGAAACCTTGGCTCCAGGCTTTCATGTAGATTTTACTTTGTCATCTACCACCTGCCTACTGTACAGATTGTTGCAGACCACAATCAGCCCTTCATAGCAATGGTGTTCCCTGATGACAGTGGCTTCTTTCAGCAGGATTATGCACACTGCAAAAATTGTTCAGGAATGGGTTGAGGAACATGACTAGGGTCTCTACACGATGTTAGGCAGGTGGTTTTAATGTTTTGGTTGATCAGTGTATGTATAAAATGAAGATACATACATTTTGTGCAACCACTTACCTTGATACACAGAGCCATATTTTGGTAAGCCTAAGAACAACAAAAACAGTTTTTCAGCCTTTTTCAAGTTATCAGGAAGATGCATCTTGTTGTAGACTATATTACCAAGCTGCTGTTGGTGCCTTCACTTTTTTGAGCATCTTATTCAGAGACTTTTTACTCGCAGAAGGCTTTTTTTTGACAAAGGGGAAACTCTTGGTTGCTTGTGTTTCCAGCTGTGCTAACACGCCAGTTTGACAAGCACACATATGAAGAAGCCAGAATGAGCTGGTTACTGTTCCTTGTGCCTGCATTGCACACATAACTGGAAAAAGGCAGAATGGATGTTCGGTATGCTATGTTTTCGACATTTGAAGCTCTAAAGCTATTACATGTAGCACATGCTAAAAATTTCAGAATTATTATTAGTGTAGCTCCTGAGGGTGGATGATTATAATACAGGCAACAAAAGCATTTCTTGACCATGTTACTATGAAAATATTAGAGGACAGTTTATGGCATGTTTTAGCTGTTTGCAGTTCTGTTGGACTGAAAATTCAATAGCATGAAAAGCTGAAAACCTTTTTTGAAAGCTCATGGGTAGCTGCAGTGCAAAGGTAGGACAAACAGAGTTTTCTGCAGCGTTCTGAACACCTCCTGGCATAGTTTTCACAGTACAAATGGCAGCTTGTTTACCACCTGACAGAATAGTTGCTCTCATTTTTTAAACGACCTGAAATGGATTTCTCAAGCAGACCTGCCTGTTAAGGACATGACATCCAAACAAGTTGCATTTTGGTGGCTTGTCTGTTAACTTGGTACTGGTAACACCGTCATACTGACTCACACCATTCTTTATACCCATTAAAAGCACTGTGGTACATGATAGTATATTCATATATTATGGCAATACAGTGGTACATTTTGCAGTTCAGTTTTGTGTCATACAAACATTTTCAGCGAGCCCCTAAAATGGATGTTATAAATTCAGTTATATTTTGTTTTGATTGATTTGAATAGAAGTTGATAACTTGGCCCAGACAGACTTTTTTTTGCAGGGAAAATCTGCAGATTTGCAAAAAATATAGTTTAAATAATGTGAGAACTGTGTAAAAACAGTGTGCATGTGCAGTTGCATGTGTCAGTGTTGATCGATGCAATGCTGACTTTAAACAAACTCTTTTTCAAACAGATATGCTGCTTTTGATTAACACAACAGCAGGAAACAGAACACAATGACCTCAAAATCACCCTCATTTTTTTTTTTTTTGAATGATACAAGCACATCTGTACTCTATATCTGTAAATCTCAGTGCCATGAAATGGTGTCTGTAAAATACATGGGTCAGACATGTGCAAGAATTCAATCTGTTCAAGAAGGGTACACACTATTAATCAGCCAGTATTCTAGAGGTCTTCTCTTAGCTTTAAGAAAAATGCAAGCACAAATATGTATTATATTTAAATAATGTTTAATGGTGTGACATGTTGTGCATGCACAATTAAGTAAATGTAAACAGAATTCGCAATCATGTTTTAAGTTTGACCACAACATGCTTTCCATAGTCTTTAGTTGGATTCGCATCGCGGTCGTGCGTCTGGATTTCTTCACGTGGGTCTCAACAACTTTACACAAAACGAGCTCTTTCTGGTGAAATATGACCACCCAGTGTTTAAGTATGATCAAACCTGTATAATTTCACGTGCACTCTGCTTTATGCTAGGCTATCTGACAAAGTTACAGTTTCTGTTAAATTGGCGTTCACGACAGTACCATGTGTGGTGCTGCTGACGCAGGAGCCGGCGTTCTGACATAGAACACGGATGCACTGCGCTTGTTTATAAGCAGAGGAATGCACACGCATGTGTTGTGGTACTGTCATCAACACGCGTCGAAGACTGACACGGAAGAGAAGAAATATTGAGTTGATTGATGTTGAATATTGATGTTGAATAAAGTCGTTATTTTTGTTTTCTTTGCACACAAAAAGTATTCTCGTAGCTTCATATAAGTAATGTTGAGCCACTGATATCACATGGACTATTTTAACGATGTCCTTACTACCTTTCTAGGCCTTGAACGTGGTAGTTGCATTGCTGTCTATGCAAGGTCAGAAAGCTGGATTTCATCAAAAATATCTTAATTTGTGTTCCGAAGATGAACAAAGGTCTTACCGGTTTGGAACAACATGAGAGTGAGTAGTTAATGACAGAGTTTTCAATTTGTGGTGAACTAACTCTTTAAATTTCAATGTTTTTCCAAATACCAAATATTATTAATAATTGTGTTTATTTAATTGTGTTTATTATACGTGTCTAAATTAAGGTTGTATAAGCTTGTAAATACTAAAACTACTCACTAAAACTAATGTACGGTGCAGTTCCTGACTAGATTGAGTGATTGATTGACTGTTTGTTTATTTAGCCTATTTATTGCACATTTTAATAGTATTCATTCATTCATTCATTCATTTGTATTTATGTTATAGCCTATATAATTTGTTTTTTGTTGATCAAACGGGCATTCGCAAACATAAGCCTATTAGAATACGAAGTAGGCCTACGTTTTACATTTCTGCTATTCGTTCCATCAGAAAAATCCTCGATAGGCTCCAAATGCTCTTTACTGCCAGCTCACTCATCAGTTCTCGGCTCATTGTGATTCGGACATGTTCGCTTTCCGGTTGAATGAGGCAGAGAGTTGTTCACTCGTGACCGAATCGTTCAGTTTAGTGCGGTGAGCAAATAGTTCAGACCGGTTTAGTGAACCGGTTCGAATGAATCATTGAAAAGATCCGACTCAAAAGAACGATACGCTCACGGATCGGACATCGCTGTGTAAGCGCGAGATAGGGAGGGGGGTGGATTTCAGGAGCTCCACCACAAACGTGTCCTTCCTTACACCACAGGAATGAAGCTAATCAAACGGACGCGTAGCACACAGTTATTTTGCATAACTTAATGGTTTATTATCTAAATCCACGTCTTTTTTGTTTCTCACAGACTGAACAGGGAAAGTTTTATATCCGAGGAGGAATACCTGCCAACGAACGGAACGCATCATCCAGCAAACCGTCACACCTTCGCCTCAGTATTTGAGTGCGTTGAGGAGATCGGATCTGCTTTCGGACTGCATTTTCTTGTTTGTTTCTTTTTGGGGGTGAGGGACAAGTCCCTTAAAGTACGTATATTTTTCTTTTACAAAATGAGTGTGGATCTCTAGTTCTGTGCCCCGGTGTTCTGTAGGTTTGTGCGGATCATCTTGTGAAGTAGTTTTAGTTCCCGTAGACTGTTGTGTTCTCTCCCTTTTCTCTTACTTGGATGCTGGAATTTAAGACTGACAGTCCCGTTCTCTCCTCATGCCCATGAAAACAACTCTCGGATGGTAAGGATTCCAGAGAATGGTAAATGATCGATGGAAAATCATGAACAGTGTTTCAGAACTCGAGGATGGACAGCAGCATAAATCGCAGGTATGTTGCACGCGCGTCATGTAGGGAGCTACTAGACCTGTGTCGATGCATTCGTGATGTTCAGGCAGGTCAAAAACTATAGATATGACCATATGCAGGTCTCATTGCGTTTTATATAGAATAATATATATATATATATATATATAATATTTAAATGTACAAAACATTTGCTACATACAATACTTACTAAGAATCACTAAAAATGATTTTGAAAGCATAAAATCCTTTGGTAAATTTCGCAACCAACAGTCGTACTAGCGGATTGCGATAATCTGACAATACCAAAATATTGACAGATTCATTGGCTTAAAATAAGTTTATTGCTAGTAAATAATAAGCCCCTTTAGTTCTCAAGTATTTAGATTGATATAGTACCAGTGTCAGATGATACCTCTCTCCGTGCCCTCTGCACACGAGGGAATACATTTGTATTCCAGAGAATGGTAAATGATCGATGGAAAATCATGAACAGTGTTTCAGAACTCGAGGATGGACAGCAGCATAAATCGCAGGTATGTTGCACGCGCGTCATGTAGGGAGCTACTAGACCTGTGTCGATGCATTCGTGATGTTCAGGCAGGTCAAAAACTATAGATATGACCATATGCAGGTCTCATTGCGTTTTATATAGACAGCAAACATAAATATTACTCGGAACTGAATATTTTAAAGCACATGCCGCTATTAACAAATCACGCCATGCTTACAGACCTTGAGGATTAGGCTAAACTATTTGTTGAAACAAATATTATTTGATGAAATTATAGTAATACATTTTAGCATTTGTCTTCTTGACTATTCTGTGTCTTATAACTAATTGCTTTGGATAAGTAAGCGCTGCCTAGAAAGAGATTTAAGGAGTATATATATATATATATATAATATTTAAATGTACAAAACATTTGCTACATACAATACTTACTAAGAATCACTAAAAATGATTTTGAAAGCATAAAATCCTTTGGTAAATTTCGCAACCAACAGTCGTACTAGCGGATTGCGATAATCTGACAATACCAAAATATTGACAGATTCATTGGCTTAAAATAAGTTTATTGCTAGTAAATAATAAGCCCCTTTAGTTCTCAAGTATTTAGATTGATATAGTACCAGTGTCAGATGATACCTCTCTCCGTGCCCTCTGCACACGAGGGAATACATTTGTTTCTATTATGCAGCTCACACAGAACTAAGGGATTAAGCTCAGTCCCTCCATGTATGAGCGACTGCATGCCTGCCCGAAAATTTCACTCGTGAATGCTGGAAGTTCATGCATTCACAGCAGAGAGAGCACATCACAGATCTGATGGTGGAGCTCAGCACGCTGAAGGGTGTTGCATCTTTGCTTTCTTTATCTCGCACAAAGCTCGTTTGAAAAATCTATATCTCACCACTGCCTGCATTTCACAGCCACTGTAATCTGCTGTGAGCATTTAGGGGGGAACGTACATAACACGCTGTTTATTGCAATCCTGATTATAGCGGTTTAAGGATGGGATCACGGCAGTAACAGCTGTTTATTTCTGCTATCATCCTCACGTGGCATCCTCTAACCTTCTCTCAGTGGGGGTGTAAAGTGTGCATAATACAATGCCCTTTCAGGAATATGTCAAGCCCTGCTTTTGAAGCGTCAACATCAACACGAGCCGCTTGTTCTAATGGCACTTCTTTATTTGCCCGTCTTGTGTAACTGAGTCATTTTAACACGCAGCACAACTGAAGTGTCGTGCCAGTTTATCAAACTGCCTGAGCTTGTTTGCTTTGTGCTGCATAAGTTATTTTAGGGGTTGTTAATTAATCAACGTGCATTTGTCTGCCATCCATTTCTGACTGATGTTTATTAATAAAATATTCACTTGGGAGAGAGAATAAGAGAGAGAGGAGGGATCTCATGGGAGGAATAAAACTGTTCACCTGCTGTGCTGGAGCATTCAGACTTTGATGGACATGATTTGTAATTCATTGTGCTGTACTTTGTGCCTTGATTTTTACAGTTGAATATAATAGGTGAAGCCCCTGGTCCGTTGTGCATTGGTTAAAAATAGGCTTATGGGTCCTGTGAGACAGGCGTACAGTTAAAAGAAGGATTTGCATGTTTTAGCATCAGCAACCTGATATATGGTGTGTGTGTTATATAATAGCCAAAGGAGTCACAGTCAGCTAGTTTAAGTTGCAGGTAGTAACATTATTGTATGGTATGGTCAGATGGACTCATTAGCTCCTTGCTCCTGGGGATTTTTCATTGTCGGCCCACCTGTGGTATTCTTTAAGGTCTACTCCTGCAGACACACACGGTCACACTCTAGAGCAAAACAGCTGCAGTGATTTTTAAAACAAAAAATCCTGCCGTTATTTACTGACCTTCATGGCTTTCCAAAGTCGTATGATTTTCTTTCATCTGTGGAACGCGAAAAAAGATTTTTGGAAGCCGTTTTGTATGCAATTAAAGTTAAAGCACATGCCGCTATTAACAAATCACGCCATGCTTACAGACCTTGAGGATTAGGCTAAACTATTTGTTGAAACAAATATTATTTGATGAAATTATAGTAATACATTTTAGCATTTGTCTTCTTGACTATTCTGTGTCTTATAACTAATTGCTTTGGATAAGTAAGCGCTGCCTAGAAAGAGATTTAAGGAGTATGATTATTTTTTTCTTTCATCTGTGGAACGCGAAAAAAGATTTTTGGAAGCCGTTTTGTATGCAATTAAAGTGAATGGTGATGAATGGTCACCAAAAGGACCTTAAAAATATCCCTACACAAATCGTGCACTACAATGTGCAGGGATGTTCACACCAAGAAGGATAACTATATCACACCAAGAAGGATAACTATATGTTTTAATAAACATTCTAATTCTATGAGAATAGGTTCACTGTTGAAAGTAAAGGTTCTTTTATTGTCATCTATGGTTCCATGAGGAACCTTTGAAGAACATTAACATTGGACAAGTGGAAAAGGTTCTTCAGATGATTAAAATGTTTTGAAAATAATGGTTCTTTGGGCAACCCAAAATGGTTCTTCTATTGCATCCTTTTGGAACTTTTATTTTTAAGAGTGTATGTCCATACCACAGCTATAACGATAATGAAAGAGAGGAGCGATATCGTAGAAATCTCTTTCAGAACAATTTTTTTTCCAGCTTATAAAAATGTTGACAGTGAATCAGAGAATTTAAAGAACTCGAGCATTTAAAGCGGCAGACGTCATAACTGCAGTATGCGTTTATAGTAAACTTAATGTAATCGTTCATTGGTGTGGATGCTAATCTCAAATCTCATCCTCTTTCACATATATTCAACGGTTTGCAAAATGTCTTTGGTTTTCCTGTGTCTTTAACCTAATTGTGACATGCCAAATTTGGATGTTCTCATATTCACTTTACACAAATGAGATTTGAGAGCGGATTAAAGAGAATTGATTGCATGTCTTCTGACTTGGAATATAGTGCACGGTTTGTATAGACTGCTGTTTTTATGATGCATTCTGAATTTTTATGTCGCCGTCTTGTCATTTCTGGGGCTTGACAGACCCTGGTCACCATTCACTGTCATTGTATTGGAAAGAATAGCATGAACATCCTGCCAAACATATCCTTTCCTTCTCATTCGTGTTTGGAACGTTATGAAGGTGAGTAAAGAATGACAGAATATCTGTTCTTGAGCGAACGGTCTGTTTCTTTAAGCTGCCACTGTATTTTTAACCCTGGAAACTGCAGGCTAAAACATCTTCAGGTAATTGATTTGCTTGTCTGCTTTTTTTACTTAAAGGCATTTTACTATAAAGGGCTGGAGGGATTGAAAATTTTGAAAGCTGTAAGAAACATTTGCCATCCTGGAGAGTCGGAAAAATTAGTATTGGCCATTATAACTTGCAGACTTCATCTCAGCACAGGATGATAGCAGCCACCTGAAGTTAAATAGAGTTTTATCAATTCATTTCCCTCTCAAATGTGTCAAGCTGCTTAAGTTGTAGTAGCTATTAGGATTTGCAAAGTGAACAGACTTGCTGACAGCCTGGGTAGCTTTTCATCAGGATGAAGTGTAGATACTTTATCTCTAGAGTTAATCTTTGGAGAATCTGTGAAGTCGTGCCCAGCCGTTGCCTGCTTTCTGGCCAGCAATTCCCCATTGGCGCACACAGCAATTCAATGCGGCCAAACAAAGACAATGTGAGAGATGTTTACCAATTGTGTGCTGGACACAATGGGGATGGAAAGTCCAAACATTTGGGCTGAAATTCATTTCTTCTGGATGCTTGTCAAACACGGCGCTGCCAATTAAACACTCCTCCAAAAACCTGGAAGCCTGCTGTTCTGTAATGAAAGCTGTAACCGCATGACTGAACATAGCCATTATGTGTGTACAGGATAAAACACTAGATACCTAGAGTGTCCTCTAGCTTAATAAGTATGCTGCGACGACTCTAAAACACTTCCCGTTTCATTATGTCGTGACGCTCATGTGCTTTTTCAGCCGTATTAATGACAAAACCCTGCTTATTCTCTTCTCAAAGCCGTTTATTTCCCCCCACAATAGTACTTATGCTATTTAATGTTTGATCCAGGAAAAAAAATGGGATTAAATCAATCAACTGTGGTTTCAAATTAAAAAAAAAAATCTTTTAAAATCCCTCCATGTGCATTCTTTGTGGTGTTCCGGTGTTTATTGTGGCTGGAAATGCTATCAGAATCTCAACCCTATCCTTTCAGCCATACCTTGTTTCTCGTCAGTCTCTCCTGTCTGCATAATAAAGTCTTCTGGCCTTGGTTGTAGCACACTGACAGTGGATGAATGTGAAAGCTATAAAGTCCCTGCAGATATATGGTTTTCCCTTCTCTGCTGTTATCTGTGCTGGATATCCATCACAGGATTGTGGGGCTATTTGGGGGCGTATGAATTCTGATATATGGAGTCCCACAGGCGAGGGTCTCGCTCTAAGAGTAGTTGTATAATTATAGGCCATCAAAGGCTCTCCTAGATGGCGTCTGTATATCAAACTGTCATGGATCGTTTTTTCAGTGTGATGGAGCGAATGTTATTTGGTTTAACCCCTGACATCACTCAGATGATCCCTGACGTGTCTCTTCCTTCTCACCTTCAACAATAAGGAATGATTTTTTAGATGAGGTATAAGAATAAACAATCTAATTTGCTCTGGGTCAGATCTGTTGACATTTTGCAAAAGCCATCTTTATTTAATTCAGGACTAGAGACACACCTTTTGGTATTTATCTTGTGTTTGACATTTCTTCTCCGCTTTTGAGATTACACCCATCTTTAGTCAACCTGAATGAAACTGAAGACGGTGTGCTAAAAATATGTGGACTCTGTTGACTAACCGCAACAGTTGACTAATTTGAATTCATTAAGCAGTTGTACCACTTTGGCACACAGTATATTTAAATGCAAAAACATGCATCTTGTCAATTCTCCCAGTGGAAAAGTGCACCATGCAAATTGTGTTCAGCTCGTGCAAGGGAGACAAGGATGAGGTTTTATTACAAT